AATGTTCTTAGGTTGTAGCAGCAAAGCAGATGGTCATGCTCCTTCTTTAAGGTTATTTCCACTGATAAATTCTTACCAATTTCTGTTGTTGAAACATCTTGTTGTGGTTCTTCTGCCCATTTATATGGTTACAGTCATCGAATATATGGTTCTCTTGGCTGTTTTTCCCTCTCCCTGCATCAGTTTGTGTACATCTTCTCGTACTTTTCTGTGTCCATAATATTTGTTGTTTCTTAGGACACGGAGATCGCCGTTCCGGTCACATGCCACAATTTGTTACTTTCATTCCCCATTCCCCAATTGATGGTATCTATTTTGTTTCCAGTTCTCTGCTACCACAAAAGCCACTGCTACAGTATCTGGTATCTAGGGGGGCTTTCCTTTGGTCTATGAAACAGACTAGACGAAAAAGCAACAGAAAGGATTGAGCTCCATAACCCAGTGTTTTATAAACCTGAAAACCTCTATAAATTTCTTAGGAAAGAACTTGTTATTTGATAAGAACTATGAGGAAAATGGGAAAACCATCTCTGGTATAAATTAGCCTGAGACCAGCATCTTCTACCATGTTCCACAATAAATTCAAATGACCTGAATTTCAAAGATCACAGCATAAAAAATGAAAAGCAGATCACATAAAGGTCTATTGCAGCTAAGGGTGGGGAATAAATTCTGAACCAAATAGAGATAGAAACAGTTATAAAAGAGAAAATAGATTATATGAATTGAAAAGCTCTTGCACAAACCAAATTAATGTATCTAGGATAAGATGGAAGGAAAGTAGGATGGAAGGAGTTTTTAAATTAGTTATTATTCATTTTCATTAAATTTATTATTAATTTTAAAATAACATTAGTTATCTTATCATTGATAATAAAATAGATTATTAAATAATAAAATTAATTTTTATTAAGCTCCTACTATGTGCCAGCTTCTGTCCCTCACTGATCTTCACATTAACCCTAGGAGGCAAGTGCTGTTATTACCCCCATTTTACAGTAAAGGAAACTGAGGCAGACCAGGGTTAAATGACTTGCCCACCACTGCCCATAGTAGTGAGTGTTTGGGACTGGATTTGAATTTGGGTTTTCCTGACTTCAGGGCCAGTACTTTGTGTACCAGAGAAATCAAATGTGATTCGATGGAAAGAGCTCCAGCTCTGAAGTCGGAGGAGCTGGGTTCAAATGCTGACTTTCTCAGTAACTAGACCATGACTCTGGCTAAGTCACATCGTACCTTTGAGCCTCAGTTTATTCCTTGTAAAAGAAAGGGATTGGAGTCTCAATGGTTGGTCTAGACCCTTTTTTGTGGGTCATAGACCCCTTGGGCAGCCCAGTAAAGCCCATGGATCCCTCTTCTGACCAATATTTTTAAATAATCAAAAGAAACCTTACATCTCATTGAGAGGTTAGTAAAAATAAAGATGTGTTCTTTTTTCCCATCCAAATTGACGGAACCCCAGAAATCTCTCCTGGGAACCCTCAGGGGTCTGTAGACCCCAGGTTAGGAGTCCTTGCTCTAAATATAAAGTCTCACTGGGAAATCTGCTGGTGTCACGTTTGGTCACTTCTCCTCTGCTGTACATCAGGCCATACTGGACATCCCAGCTTCCAGTTTCTGTGTCTCATTTCCCTGTTAGACTAGCCCAGGCCGAGGATGTCACACACAGTTGCTGATTACTAAATTACAAAATTGTTGAAGATTTGGTGTGGTGGGAAGAGCCTGGTTTCCCACCCTGACTGCTGACTCTTAGTATGTGTATGACTCAGTTTCCTCCACTGTTAAAAGAGGTGTTAGGGTCCAGAGCCTCTGAGGCATCTTCTAGCTCTGGGCTTAGGATCTTCTCGGACAGCACCTTGTGCCAAGTATGCCAAACTTAGTGAAGGTCAAGGTTAACCCCAAAGTTCCTGGCACGGGAAATGAGAGACTATTTCCCTTTTAGAGAAGTAAGAAAGGCATTGGCCGCTCTCTCAGAGTGTACAGACCTGTGCTTCTATGTTTAATTTCAAAGAAGATCAAATGAGTTTGGCTCTCCCAATCAACAAGGAACTTTGGGATCCATACACAGCTTGCTGAACCAGACAGAGAAGGCAGAAGAAAAGGGAGGGCTTCAGGCAAACAGGAGAGCCCCCTGACAAGCAGAGGATGGACAACAAGAACAGGAAAGGCCCAGGGCCTAGACTGGGAGTTGGCAGAAGCCAGTGACGGAACCCCACCTGTCCTCCACGGACCAGCCCACCCCCCTGCTTTCCTGGTTTTCAGTTTCTCCTCGTCTGAAAAACACGTGGAAAATGCTCCCAAGGGGGTGGTGAGGAATCTTAGAAACTGAAAATCACTTTAGGAAAGGGAGTTACTGTTGGAATAACGAATTCCTTTTTATTGAGTGTCTGCTACGGGCGCCACGAAGAGGAAACAAAGGGGTGGGGGAGGCTCCAGAGGGGACAGTCGCTGGCTTCTGTCTCTCCCTGATCCCCACCCGTCCTCCACGCTCTCCTACACGAGGTCTTTCTTGATTTCTCCAGTCATCAGCGGCCCCCCCCCCACTCCCGAATACTTTGTATGTATCATATGTATGTATTGTCTCCCCAAGAGAATGTAGGCATGTTGAGATCAAGGCCAGTTTCACTCTGTCTTTATGTCCTTAGGGCCTAGAACAGGGCCTGTATGTGTTACATGGGAAGGGAGGGACGAGAACAAGCATTTATATAGCACCTCCTGTGTGCCGGGCACTCTTCAATCCCAGGATCCCGGCCTCCAGGCTGTTCCATGAACAAGCCCCTCCATCCCTCAGCTCTGGGCATTCCCTCTGTCCCCCCAGGCCTGCAGTGTTTCCCCTCCCCCGCTCTTCCTGCCACCCTCCCTGGTTTCCTCTGAGTTCCAACTCAAATCCCCTTCTGCAGGAAGCCTTCACAGCCCTCTTAACTCCTATATCTTCCCTCTGGTCAGTGTCTCCTCTATCCTGTAGATGGTTTGCTTTGAACATAACTGTTTGCATATTGTCTCTCCCATTAGATTGTAAGCTCCTTGAGGGCAGGGACTATCCTTTGCCTCTTTTGGTATCTCCAGAGCTTAGTATGATGTCTGGCACACTATAGGTGCTTGGTCTCTTTGGGAGGGGGAAGACAGGACAATTCGGGCAGATCTTTTCAGCCCCTAGTCCTTTCTGTCACTTAATGGCTGGAATAGGGTGAGGCCAGAGAGGGGATGTGACTGTGTTTGTGCCAGCCTTGGCCAGGTCTTGCCACTCCTTCCTCCTGGTCACTTGGCCATCCCACCTTGACTTCCCTGCCCCTCCCCCCAAGGAGAAGTCCCATAATCTGGACAAGCTCTGGTCTGTGGGAAACATTTCACGGGGGACCCGGAGACCACCTTGCTTTCCCCTCCCCCAGCTTTGCTGATCCTCTGTGACCTTTGGGGTAGCTGGGTGGGGAAGGAAGACCTGTTCAAATCCTAAGTCAGACATTAACTGGTTGTGTGACCTTGGGCAAGGCATTTTACCTCTGCCTGCCTCAGTTTCCTCATTTGTTAAAGGGGATAATAAACACCCACCTCATGGGGTTATGGTTGGGATAAAATGAGGCTGTGTTTTCAAAGCACTTTGCTAACCTCTCTCAGGAGAGAAGGTGGCATTCCTGCCCTCTCTCAGGAGGAGTCTGAGGGCCTCATTCACATGCTGCGTGGCTTGGTTGCTTCTTCTGTGGAGAAGACCCTTCCCATCTCTGAAATGAGGGGTTAGACAGGACGGCCGCTGCGGTCTCTCAGCTCTAGATTCCTGGCAGGGCCTTAGTTTCCCTATTTGTTAAGATGAAGGCATCAGATAAAGTGATTTTTCAGATTCCTTCCATTTCTACGTCTTATGAATGGACCTTCAGAAGTCATACTCACATGTTCTTGGGTAAATTAATTCACTCAGTTTTGGAACTGGTCTCCTGGCTTGAGTGGTCCTAATTGGTGAGTGAGTGAATGTGGACTTTCTCTAGGCATCCCCAGACATGGCCAAGCTTCCCTCTGCCCAAGCCATCTGGCCTTCTGCTCTGCCACCAGGCCACCATAGGCCCCTCCTCCTCTCCCTATGACTCTGGGCCCAGAAGTCAAATCAACCCTCCCATTACTTCCAGAAAAAATACACCAGTCAATCAGTCAGTCAGTCGCCCTCCCTGTGATTTCTGGCCATCTCTCCCTCTCTTATCCCTGTCTATCCCTCTCTTCCTCTCCTCCTTCTGTCTTCTCTCCCTTTATTCTTCCCTTCTTCCCTCTGTTCATCCACCTTATCTGTAGAATGGGTCTGTGGAGGGCTGTTCTGTGCCCCTCAGGCCTTCAGCAAAGCTCTTGGACCCCCTTTCTGGGAGGGCCGCCTGTCTATAAAGCCAGCAAGCAGGACCGTGCAGTATCTATCTTTAAACCTCCTCAGTCTCTCCTCTTTCCTTTAGGTTTTCTCGTTTTGAGTGTTTGATTTCTGAAGTCGTGGAAACAGTGGGAAAGAATTTTGGAACTTCTGAAATGAGGAAGTCCTGCACACAGCAGCTGCGGGAGGGGATTGTTATCAGGCGCCTTTCACGTTGGGCACAGGGCGCCCCATTTATTTGGCTTCCCATGGGCTCTTGCTCTTCTCTTCCTGGAGCCTGGCTTTAGAGCATGCCACGTGGAGGGTGAAGGTTTCCACCAGGCCCCCAGAGCCATGGTTGGCTTTGCCCAGGGCCCCGGGTTTCTGAAGACATGCCAGAGGAGTGGATCCACCCTTCCTTCCTCTTTTCCTTCTGTATTATGGGCTTCCTTCTTTTAGAGGTGAGCAGGGAGAGGAGGATGTGTGTGGCCTGTGGGGTAGTCGCTGGTAGCTAAGATAAGGGTACCATTTTGTATCATGAAACAACAGCTTTGTCCTCCCTTCGAGGGGGTCAGGTTTTTTGGTGGCCTTCCTTCCTCAAGGATTCCCAGAGAGGGTATCTTGAAAACTGCGAGTCATAGTGGAGAGGGAGGCTCTGCTCCTTGCCCCTCTGGGCTTCACTGTGGGTCTGAGTCTGACACAGCCTCCTCCCTTGTTGTCTGCTGAGCGCTGGGCCTCCGGGGGCCTCTGACCATTAGCCTCCCTCGTCACCAGTGAGTTCTTGTGTTTGTCCTGTTTGTCTTTCAGAGTCTGGTTGGAGCTGAGACCCTGCAGGGGCCTCCCTGGGCATGTGTTCTGCTGCCTTACAATATCGGGGGGATCTGCAGGCTCAGACTGGCTTCTGCAAGGGGTCTGGGGCCCCAGACCTGGAGGGACCTCTGAGGCCATCTCTATCTATCATTTCCTCCATTTCATGGATAGGGAAACTGAGGTACAGAACTTTGACGTGACCTTGGCTCCTTGGTCTGGAGGGGGAAAGGACCTCTGAGGACATTGAGTCTAGCTGCCTCATTTTTCAGATGGGGAAACCGAGGCCCAGAGAAAGCAGTGACTTGCCCGAGGCTAGCCAGGCATAGAGCTGGACTCTCACCTTGGCCTTCTGACAAACAATCCTGGCCCAGTTGGTGCTTCCTCAGGACAGGGGCTCTCAGGTCCCTGGACATGATCATTAGAACCGTGGGGACGAGGACAGCCCCCCTTGAGAACAGAGGTGCGTTTGATCCTAGATGGAACAGTTACTTCATTTTACAGAAGAGGAAACTGAGGCCCAGAGACGCCAAAGAAGGCCAAAGGATTTCTCCAGAGACCCGTCTTACTTGTGTTAGAATGAATAGCATGGGCAGGGTGCTTGAGTATGTGAATGAATGAGGAAGCATTTACTAAACTCTTACTGTATACAGAGCACTGTGCTAATGCTGGGGGCACAGAGAGAAGATTGTTCCTGCTCTGAAGGGGAGAAACTCTGTAATGTGCTCTGTAGACCTTAGTCCTTAGAGAGCATGACAGTCATTCCCTCTCCCCTAAAAGAGCCCTGGTTCTGAAGTTAGAGGCCCTGGGTTCAAATCTCACTTCTGACTCTTAGAACCTGAGTGAATGTGAGTAAGTCCATTAACCCTTCCTTCTGTGCCTCAGTTTCTCCCTCTGTTAAATGAGGAGCTTGGACTAGCTGATCTCTGGGGCCCCTCTCAGCTCTACCATCTATAGTCCTGGGGTGTTTCTGCCCAGTAGGCAGTCAGGGCCTTGTTGACTGACTGACTGACTGATGGACGGACAGACTTGCAGTTTTAGTCACGGGGAATTCTTGTGTGGGAAGGAGTGGGCTTGAGGGCCAGGAAACTCCTGAAAAATCAACACAAGGAAAAAAATGAACCATTAGGCCAGAGTGTGAATGAGCCATGCCTGATGTCTGCTCTTTCCAGGACGGCGTAGGGCTTTCCTGTCTTCCGAGGACCCCATCCCAAAGGAAACCACTTATTCCCTGGGAGCGAAGGCAATGACTGTCAGTCATGTGGGAGTTGGGAAAGCATCCCAGGGGCCCAGATCAAAAGCCGTGCCTGCCCAAGCTCAGCGAGACAGCAGAGAATCTTCCTGGGCTCGGTTTCATTCAGGGAGAAAAACGAGTTAGGGGATTTATTAATTGCCCACTGTATACAGTGTATACAGTATGCCAGGGGAGGTTGAAGAGGAGTTTAAATAATACAGAGGCCCTGTCCTCAGGGAGCTCAAAGGCCAGGAGCTGCAAAGAGGAAGTACAAGCACCACAAACATTTATTAAGCACCTTCTGTATGCAGAACTCTGTTCTGGGTGCTAGGGAGCAGTGAAGAATTAGTCCCTCTACTCATGGAGGACAGTTTCGTAGGAGAATGACGCAATCATTTGGAACCATTAACAAGCGTTTCTCAGGCACCTGCTTCGTGCCAGCCACTGCACCAAATACCAGGGGTGCAAAGAAAGGCAAAACCAACCTCTGCTCTCAAAGAAGGTTTGGGGAGGAAAAAAAGGACTGTTAGTGGCATGTGAGACAAAAAACCCCCAAAACTCATAAATGTAGCCCTCGAAGGGCCTCGCAGGCCATCTACCCCAGCCCCTCATTTTACAGAGGGGGAAAGTGAAGCCCAGGGAGTTTAAGTGAATTTCCCAAGATCACACAGATGGTGTCAGAGGCAGGATCTGAACTCAGACCTTCTGACCAAGTTATTGGGAATGAAGTGACAAGAGATGGAACTACTGTGCCAAAAAGGGATTTTTTCCCCCTCTGAAAATGGGCAGAAGCAAAGTAGAGAATTAAATAGGAAAAAGCAAACAGTGTCGTGGTCACTTGGAAGTTCAGCCTGGTCAGGATAATTCCCACTAAGCTGCTTTCACCAGGCATGTGATCCATCTGCCCTCCTGGGCTTCCTGGGTCCAGGCCAGGCCCAGCTTAGAGGGCCGGCCTCAGAGCGGGCCCCTTCCCTTCCCTTCCCTTCCCTTCAGCGCAGGGGTGGCAGGCCGGAGGGGAGCAGGCGAAGGAAAGGGCGAAGGGTGCTGCCGTGGCTGCCGATGGCACACAGTCCCTTGGGGATTTCAGCTGGAAAGCTCCCTGGTGTTACCAGGGTAACAAAGAGGTGGGAGGCCAGAGGGCCAGACCCCTGGGAGAGCTGCTGCAGAGTAGCATCCAGAGTGAGGCCATGGCTCCATTCAGTGGGCAGAGCCGGAAGACCAAGCAGGCCCCTCACATCCTCCTGATGAAAGGAAGCCAAAGGGGAGGGGCGGCTGGGAGAGCTCTCTTTACCTCTGGTCCTCAGCATGAGGAAGTGCTTGGAATCATAGTTAGATCTACAAGGGACCGCCTTGTCCATTTTACAGAGAAGGAAACTGAGGCTCTTAGGGAAGTGATGGGACCCTATGATTGTAGAATTAACCTACAAGTCCGTTTTACAGAGGAGTACACTGAGGCCCATGAAGACGTGACTTAGGATCCTAAAGTCTGCTTGAACACCATAGATTTTTACAGATTTTTTTCTTCGTATTTTACAAATGAGGAAACTGAGGATCCACTAGGAGGCAGGCCTTTATCTTAGCTCTCTTTCCACATTCAGTTTCTTAGGACCGTAAGATCATAGCTTAAGAGGTGTAAGGGAACGTGTTGACCAGCCAACCCGACCCCCTCATTTTACAGTTGAGGAAACTGTAGAAGTTGAGTGACTTGTCCAAGGTCACACAGGTAGGCGCACCAAAGGCAGGAGGATTTCTGCCTCGTCCTCCAGATCCCCTGGCTCCACTCCCCTCCCTTGCTCCTTATGCTCCAGGCTGGCATGAATTGTGATTATTCTTGATAACTCAGATAACCACCCTACCCCATTAGAAAGTAGAAATATCATTTGGGACTTTGGAATGATTTTTAGATCAGAGCAGACATGTTCTGGAATCAACAAACAAACAAATAGATGATAAATATTTGGCCAGGAGGTCCCCTCTGGCCCTACAGGGGATGCCCGTATATCCCTGCTCAGGCAAGATCCCTGGGACTTCCCGTGGCAGAGAACAGCCTCCAGGGGGCGCTGTGGTCCTGGCCTTGTTCGTCCCCAGGTCTTGAAATGATCTCACCCAACTCGTGCGTTTCAGCTGCCGCGGGTTCCCCGCCAGTCAATTCCGTTTTTTAACATTTAATGTTTCATCTTTTGATTTTCTCCTCTGCCAGAGAAACACGGCACTTCTGTAGATGCCGTTAGACGGCATCAAATTGGTCCTCTCTCCCTCGAGCAGGAACGCGGCCCCCTCGGCTTTAGGGATGACTTTTTTCTGTTTTGTCTGTATTAATGCTGGTCCCGAACGTTCCCTGCCTTCCGGTGGCTTCATTAAATTGCGTCTTTTGCTTGAAATGAGCAGCTGATTCTGTTATTGCAGGGCCACAAGGGTCCTCATCACAGCTTACTTTGGCTCTGTGGTCCCACTTATGTGGGATATAACTCTATCTCCTAAGCACAAGCAGAGTTGTCTCTGCTTTTAATTATTAGGAATATTGGTGCACCTTCTCCCCTGAAGCTTCTTTATTAAACTACTTTTTAGTTGTGTGTCCTTCATCTGTCCGGGCCTCAGTTTCCCCATCTGTAAAATAAGAGGATTGGACCTACAGATGACTTCTGAGGTATTACCATTTGCAGAATGAAGTGATGACCCTATGTCACCCTGAAGGGCCCTCTCAGCTCATAATCGATAGTTTTCTGAGTCAGATGAGGCTGGTGATTTATCTTTGTCATCTTGGCTATATCACTTAAATTCCTTGGGCCTCAGTTTCCCATCTGTAAAGAAAAAGCTAGGTAGTGCAGGAGTGCTGAGCCTGGGGTCAAGAGGACCTGAGTTCAAATCCACCCTCAGACACTTACTAGCTGTGTGATTCTGGGCAAGTCATTTCACTTGGTGTGCCTCAGTTTCCTCCTCTGTAAAATGAGCTGGAGTATCTCTGCCAAGAAAACCCCAAATGGGGATACGGAGAGTTGGCCATGATTGAAACAACTCAACAACAATCAAAAAAAAAATCGGGCTCTTGGACTGGATACCATTAAAGGTTTCTTCCAGTTCTAGAGTTAATGTTCTTGGTCAGAATCACTGGATTGCAAATCACTGAGCCTTCCTTTCCTCATCTGCAAATGGAGGGGGTTGAACCAGCTGGCCCCAAGGGCTTCTGCCGCCATGTTGTTTCGGTGGTTGCCTGAGATTCAGATGACCTGGCAGCCCCAGGAGGCTTGGTGCTGATTCTCATGTCATTTCTCCAAAAGTTGCTTTTGCGGAGAAAGTAATTAGCACCAGGTGAGGTGTGCTGCCTTCCAAGCAGGTTAAACATAATTTCCAATTTGTTATGATAGAGGCAGGTGTAATGTAGTGATTAATGGGTACTCAGAAGGATGGCAGCAGCTGCTTGTCCAAAGGGCCAGGGTGGAACTGTTGGGTCAGAAAGAACAGCCTAAGTGAAATCACCTTCATTTCTTTGTCCTCTCTGGGGGTGCGGAACCTTGGGGAGCTTCTCACTGACAGGTAAATGGACTGTGTGTGTGTGTGTGTGTGTGTAAATAGCCAAAATTTTGAACTGAGGCGATGGCAGAGACCGGGACGTGGGAGATGATCATTCAGAACCTCTCTGAGGGGACGTCCTGGGCTGTCAGCCCTAGTGACACCCCTTGGCATTTTGGGAGCCTGGGATCCATGTCTCTTGAGAGATGCTTGCCGATCTTA